ACACCGTTTTAGCGGTTGTCCGTTTTAGCGGTTGTTACTTTTGTCTATTTCATCACTTTCACTTGGCTTGCATCGTTTTAGCGATTGTTACTTTTGTCTGTTTCATCACTTTCATTTGGCTTATACCGTTTTAACGGTTGTCTGTTTTAGCAGTTGTTACTTTTGTCTGTTTCATCACTTTCATTTGGCTTGCATCGTTTTAGCGGCTGTCTGTCTGAGCGGTTGTTACTTTTGTCTGTTTCATCACTTTCATTTCGCTTGCATCGTTTTCTCCTTCCCTCGTTCCCGTCCTGCACCTCCCTCCTTGTCCTTCCCAGTCGCCTGTCGGATTTCTTTCACGTATTGGCTTAGCTATAAATGTTCCGGATGGCCGAGCAGCAGGATTTGATGTTATGGGGGTTGGGGGGGGGGGCTTGTTTTTAGGGCACTTTTACCCGCATTTTCCCCTCATTTCTTGGATAATGGATTTTACCTCTCACTTCGTTTCAGCCCGTTATTTTTCAGGAATTCTGCTGCTTGGGGTGCCTGGAGAAATCCTGGAGGGCAAGCAGCAGCAGCAAGTTCTGCTCGGCGATGCGTATAAAACGGATTGAAATCGACGGTTTCAAGTCGTATGCGCAGAAACAGACCGTGGATGGATTCGATGCGCAGTTCAACGCAATCACCGGCCTGAACGGATCGGGCAAATCCAATATCCTCGATGCAATCTGCTTCGTCCTCGGCATCACCAACTTGAGCCAGGTAAACAGAATTTTTGCTTTTGCATAGCTCTGACCAGTGTTTCTTCATATTTCGTGCTTTACAACAATGGTGCCTTCAAAAAACCTCACCGGGCAGCTTGTTTTGCAGGGGCCTGCAAAAGCTCGCTTAGGCCATTTTTGTTGCTGAGAGTTTTATGGCATATCGCAACCCTAACAGTTAATATTTTAGACTAGTCTTATGCCCTGTGTGCAAGTATGTGTGTGTGTGGTGTGAGTGTGGCGTGTGTGTGTGTGGTCTGTGTGTGGCGTGTGTGGGTGGTGTGTGGCGTGTGTGTGTTTGTGGTGTATGTGTGTGGTGTGTGTGTGGTGTGTGTGCGTGATGTGTGTGTGGTGTGTGTGATGTGTGTGTGTGATGTGTGTGTGTGATGTGTGTGTGTGATGTTTGTGTGTGGTGTGTGTGTGGTGTGTGTGTGGTGTGTGTGGTGTGTGTACGGTGTGTTTGTGTGTGTGGCGTGTGTGATGTGTGTGGTGTGGGTGTGTGGTGTGTGCGTGGTGTGTGGAGTGTGTGTGTATGTGGTGTGTGTGTAGTGTGTGTGTGTGTGTGGTGTGTGTGTGTGATGTGTGTGTGGTGTGTGTGTGTGGTGTGTGGTGTGTGTGTGTGATGTGTGTGTGTAAGAAGCCTAGTCATATATACATATTTATAACTACATCCGAATATTAAAAGGTAATGCAAAAAAAGGTGTAGAGCTTCTGGGAGCTGAAACTCCCCAGAGCAGGAATAAAAGAAACTAATAGATTAAGAAGTATTTCATGAGTTGTGGCGACCCCAGCGATGAGGAGGAGTGCTTTTATACCCCAGGGGTCAGAGATTTCTAAGATAGCGAAAGTTTAACGAAGGTAGGGTGTCCTAAGTTTGAACCAGGGAGCGGAGTATTGCGTCATGGTAACGCATTTGTTCTGAGTTACCCCATGAAC